TATTGTTTTACAAATATTGTTTATGTATTATATAATGGCTATTCAGTTCGAGCTAAAATCGCTTCAAAAACAATTTCCATTAACAACAAATTGTATCTTATTTACACCTAGAACAGGTATTACTAAGTTTAAATAGAGGTAAAGTGCAATAGTGCCCCTCTCTCAGTGGAGCTCTAATACCGAGCATTACAAACTATTACCTTTTCCTGCATATTTAGGACATAAAAATTTTATGAATCAACTCCAGCTTTGTATCCCTATTTACAATCTTTAGCAACATGGGTTTCTATATCAGCTCAGTTAATACTCAATCAAAAAGAAAAATGATATACTGGAAGACTTGAAACTATTTTTTTCTCTTCATTATAAAATGAGGGACTTCATGAAAAGGGCAGAAATATGACATAAAACTATCAAATTTCGGAATCTCAATGCCAAAAAACGATCCTCGAGTAAGTTTTGAGTCCCCAATGACCCATATCACAAAATGACTTTTTTGTAGCACTACAATCAACGCGAGGAAAAACATATTCTGAACGTGTAATCTCGAGGACACCCCAGATTTACTCGAGGACCATTTTCTGGCATAGTGATTCCGAATTTGATAGTTTTATATCATATTTCTACCCTTTTCATGAAGTCACTCATTTCATATGGTGAAAGCGACAAGGACTAAAAGAAGTTGTCATAAGGCTATCGTTAACTTAATGAACATATGTTTACTTTTAAAAGGTCATGAATATAAAAAAACATTCGCTATTTGCAATGTTTACATAAATCGTTACAACTGAATCGTTTGTTATTGGTTTTTCATTCACGGTGGTCTGACGTGTATCGGAATACTGCACACTTTGCTCAATTCAAAACATTTAACAAGACGAAATTATTTATTAGAACACATCTCACCCTTTGCAAAGTTGCCTCAAGTGACATCTCCGAGTACATGACATATTTCGATACAAAATTTCTCAATAATAATCGTATCTTGTTATTACAACACATACAGCCCTACATTGAAAATTCATTAACAGGCTTAATCGTTGCCGAATTATTCTCAATGATTGTCGTCGACAAAGAAAAAATAATAGAAACAAAACAAAAAAGAACGCATATACAACAATAATAGATAGTAGATAAATAGCATCAAAAATTAAATAGATTAATAGTAATTTTGTACAGATTACGTAGTAGCACACAATACTATTTTCTTCTTTTCGCTGTTGTACATGTGTGTTTGTGTGATATTATTAGCGTAGATAGTCGATGTTTCTGCTTAAGAGTTTTATTAGTCATTGGGCTAATACTGTACATTATAATTTTTTTACTTTTTGGTCTAATATAATTGTTTGAAATTTTTCTCTTTTTTGTGAAAATATATAAAAGGTATCATTTACTTAAAGTAACGTTCATCTTCGATTCACTTGATTCCTTGATGTGTGGGTTGGTGCGTGAATTGTATCGTTATGATTAACCCAGCCGAACAGCTTCTGCGACTCTCCTCGATTTTAGATATGTTGCTGATGAAGAATAGAAAAAGGAAACAGTCGCTAGATGTTCTTGCCGTAAAATAGAATCAATATAGTTTTATTCATCCTTAAAGTTTATGTTCAGTATAGAGCCCAAGCTTCAGCCACATACACCGTTTCTCTCAAGAATTTTAAAGTTTTTAGCAAAATAAAAAAAGAATTTTTATTTTCCAACATGGATTTGTTTGGATTATAAAGGAATGACAATAATCACTCTATAAACAAAGTATTCGTTTTTAAATAACAGCAGAAAGAAACGCAAGTGAAAGAAATAAAAAAGATGAATCTTTCAATCGTAATTTGTTCAGAAATCCACTTAATCTCGATCCTTTGAAAAATTACCATTCTGTTGTCCAATACTTTTAATGAGATTCGCGGGTGATCTCTCTAATCGAGATGATCGCGCACCCATCGGAAGCAGACAGTTTTGTCTGTTCCCCAACTGCCTCAAGAATAGGCAGTTGGGACGCTAATTTCATTGTGCTTTACTCAATTCTTCTTATCATTGCTCAGTTCTGAGATCTTAGCACAGTTAGCATGCTTAATGGAGCCTGTACATCGGAAAAGTTCTAAAATTTAGTCTATTCTTTAAAAAAGAAGATACGCTTTTGATACTCAGAATGACTGAAGAAACAAATTTTCAATTTTTCTACGATAAATAAAGGCTTTAAGTATCTCTACTTCCTCACTAGATCGTACGAATTGTTGAATCTTTGAAGTGATAGAAGAAAAAAAGAATGCTTTTACGTTGTTGCGGTTCAACAAAAAAATGAACAGTTATGATCCATAAAATATCAGATATAATATGAAAGAACCAGTCACAAATATTATAAGTGTAGCTGTTACAGTATCGTTTCTTGGTCAAAATCAATAATCTATTTCTTTTAATTTCCACAGTTATCGGCTTTAAAACAGCTTTATTCCCGTTTATTTTTAAAACCTCTTTATATCAGTAGCCATTTCGTCACTTTTGTATCACTTCAGACCTGCCGGCCTATTTTTGACGGCTAACACAAAAAACCTATCAAGGGGTCAAGATAAGCCTTCATTAATTTGCTCTTTCATGAAAATTTCCCCATTGTTTAAAAATTGCATAAAAATCTGCCCTCTATTTTGTTATGATTTTCATTAGTTGCTGTATCGTTTCTGTCTCATTTGATGTATTCTACCTGATCGTCAGACCTGAGGCTTTGGACGAAAGAAAAAAAGATACCCATACAAAAAGTGAGAGTCGAGAGCCAGTGCCAAAAGCCAGAGTTATTTTTTTATTGAAGATAACTTTAGCAGATTTATGCATTTCGAAATAAACTTTTACAATGAAATTTTCGTTTAATTAACCGCAAGATTATCAGTGAAATTTTATTATAATGAATTTTTTGCGTTTTATGGAAAAACCTGGCTGCGCTACGTGCAACGTCTTAAGGACTGAGCGGACTTACACCAGAGGAGAGTTTATAATCCTAAGTTTACGCTCAAGCTGAACAGTGATACTTTGATTTATGGTCCCTTAAACCAGAGGGAATGTTCTATTTTGGAAGTACCTTCCACCTCTGGCTGATGTTAACGCAGACTTCGATGGCCAAATTGTACTGTTGGTAGCAATCATGTCATTTTCCGTCCCGTTTCACTTGCTTGCATAGCAATTTCTCTGATAAAGATCACGTGCACTCTTTTGCGTTTTATATGCCCTTCTAAATGAACCATTTGTCTTTGATTATATTGGAAAGGTATGAGCGGCATATATTACTTAGTATTCGTCCTTTTCTTTTATTCGATACATGAAAAAAACAAATGAAGGAGAAATGTAACACAGCAATGTATAGTAGCATCAGAAGCGTAGAAAATCACCGAGTAAACAGAATTAAATAGATTTGAAAAGAAATATCACAGACTTGCAAAAAGAGCTATCAAATAAAATGAGAAAATATCACAAATTAAAAATGACACTTAAAGCACACAGAAAGTAGAAAGTGTCAAAAAATAAAAAAGTCCAGAACTTTATTCCTCCGCAGTCGTATTCAGCACATTTCGATGACATTATAATCATCAAAGGAGTTCGACTGTAAAGACGATTGAAAAATGATGCGTAGCTGGGAAGAGAGAAACTATCTTCCCGTGAAACGAATATACTTCTGAATGCTCTGGTTTTTTCATCAACTTTTTCGTATTTGCCTGAATTACCCAAAATTGATGCCTAAAAACGTGCAGAAATAAAGAAGGTAATGGGGCAAAGAAACAACTTATAATATTAGGATTACTTTCTGTCTATCCCAAACTGCTGGCCTTTTTGTTCGCGTTTTTCTTATACCAGCATCAGCTGTTGTGATCGTTGAACAATTGGGTTTTGGCTGAACAATTCAAATTTTCATTTGTCTTTTCACTGCCTTTATGTGAATATAGTCCGCCCGTTTTTTGTTTCACCGAAACAATTGATGTACAAGAAAAAACTGACGATTGTCTTCGTCGAGACTTTTCTCGTCGACGATACAAGCTTCTTTTTGGATTTGTTTCCAGTATAAAATACACCTAAAGATGAAGAAAAAAAGAACAAGTCAAATATAATTGTAGAAGCGAGAATAACGTGGGGTCGATATAGACACATCAATTACGAGATTCAGAAGTAGTTGCATTTTTCAATCTTCGTCACTAAGCGCTTAAAAGATCATTCTAGTCCTGGAAAAGTGAATAAGTCACACTTTTCTTCTGCTAGAAATCATTTTAATTCCAGTTGTGTCGTTCTGTTACAATCGGCGTACTCATCTCTCATCGCCATTAAGAACATTCTGTGATAAATCTTTCATTGATACAGTATTATGTTTCAATCATTCTGTAACCGTCAAATTACATACTCGTTGCTAAATCTCGTGGCAATGTTTATTTCGTTCCTAGACTAAACTTAGAGTGGTCAATTATATATAATCATCAATTGTACGGCTTCTAACCGCACAAAAACAATGGTTTTTTCATTTTTTTTTCGATCTTATGAAGTGAATGTATAATATCATGCGAAGAAAATGTTTTCTTCGATGTGTCAGAGTAACAGGATGTCCATGAGTACGATCAGAATACTCAATCGCTGTCAAAAGACTCGGGATGTACTGTAGAAGAACAATAAAACATACGACAATAAAATATTTTGGAAGAAAACTAAAAGTGCGCACGGATGATTTTTTGAATCATAACCGAAAAAACGAGATAAGTATTTATAATGCCGAAGGAGTTCTCAAAAGAGTTTAAGCAAGTCGCATTTTTAGTTATAAATTTCGTGGAAAATGAGAGAAAGGGCACGACAATTCCTCTTCACAATGTGAACGATAGACTCTAATTTATGTTTGGTATATCAGAAAGATCAGTTTATCGATTAAAGATGAATTGAAAAAGCTGAAGCAAGAAGAGACTGTTCGTTTTCGTCGCATATCATCCGCATCGTCATCCTCTTCCGTTACTACAGTTTTACCGACACCACCGTCCCCAATGAAACATAATGCTCGACGACGTAAAGTACATGTAACTGAATTACAAAAGGACACAATTCGTTTAACATTCACTTGCTGTTAGAAGATAGAGTATATTCAACTTTAGAAAATTTATTATTCACATTGTTAGCTCAAGAAGATTTTCCCGTCACATCCAAGACTTCATTACAACGTGAATTAAAAGAAATGGATTTTAAATATGGTCAGGCAAAAAGGGTCAATGTTCTGATGGATGCAATTGCGTTTCAGGCATTTCCAGCCGTATACTTCGGACGTTTGAATGAACTGTGGGATAGTAAAACAATGTGTTATTATATCATGATGGAACATGGCTAAATGAAAACGAAGAAAAGACAAAGTCTGGTTGGACGATCAAGTATATGGTCGACTAAGAAATACCGAGGGAAAAGGTAAACTCACAATATACTTTAATAGTTTGTGACCAGCACTTTCTATCTCTTTGTATATCTAATTCAAATAGGTCTGAGACTGGCAAGAAGCGGACTGATTAGTCTCAACGGCTTTCATCTACGAACACTTGATATTTTTAAGTGTGATGATGTTAATTCCTGTGAAGTCTGTCATATAGATCGGCTGTCAAAGGTGAAATCTCAGTTCAATACGAGTAAAAACTTTGATTTTTTATTCGTTAACATTAAGTCATGATTCGTGCCTCAATACCTACGTTTTTTACAATGATTCAATCGACATTAGTAGGTTTTCAGGGATTATTCCGTATAACTGCCTAGTTTCTTTTTATTGTTATTGAAGGATCTAGGACCAATTGTCAAGAGTATTGCAAATTTTATGATGCTAAGGAAGTTATTTGTTTTTAAGGCTAAAGAAAACAGAACAAAACTCCTCTGAGAAATAGCGATGACACCGTGTCTAGGGCAAAATCGCCCTGTTCATTTTAACTTCCATAGTTCTATGCAGAAAAACCATTATCGCAAGATCGACTTTTTATACGCTGAACAGAATTGGTCCAAATTTTTTTCTGAATAGCTTATTGAATGACTGTACGGGTAGCAAAGTGTCTCTTTATTCAAACCACTTTTCGCATTTTGGTGCAAATAGTGGAGCGTTTAAAATAGTGTCAGTGTTCGCGCCAAAATGGGAAAAGTGATTTGAATAAAGAGACACTTTGCTACCCGTACAGTTATTCAATAAGCTATTCAGATAAAAATTTGGATCAATTCTGTTTACCGTATAAAAAGTCGATTTTGCAATAATGCAACTTCACTACACTTTTATTTTATTCTATTTTATTAATTGAGCTTGAGTGAGAAGAAATCTAAATACGAAACGCCGCCCAAAAAAGCTCTTGCAACTTTCATTCTCTTGAAATGTATCGCTCTTATCAAAAGTATGTTTTCATTATAGCAGAGTAAATTTGAAATTATGTAATTATAGAAACCAGAAGTGTTTTTATTGCTCTTTTGAATCAGATGTGATAAACTACCTTTAGCTGTTCTTTTCCATCAGAAATTCGCGGGTTTTCATTTGCTTCAGAAATAGAGTTGATTAGATTTAATTAATAATTTTCATATACTAAATGAACTTTGTCCTTTTGAGGAGTTAACGACAAATTCTCGACAGTAGATGGATCAATACAGTTCTGCACAGACGACATTCTCAACTATTTAGTGTTCAAAAAGGGTTTTCTCCTCAGGTTGCAGTGATAAATTAAAGAAAAACGTATTTTGCAAGAGCATTATATACATTTTTTTTCCATTTCTATTGCATTGTATAATACCCATTTAGAAATAACTTCTCATCATAGAGGTGTCAAGGCTTACATGTTTCCGTTTACAAATAATCATAAAACATCTTTTAGTCTTTTCCAACACATAGCAAAGAATTAAATGCAAAAACGTTAAGTCAGTAGAAGAAAACCAGAAACTCTAAAGCATGAAGGAAAATAATTGTAGTCCGCCTTCCACATGAAAATCACATAGAAAGCGTTGAAAAAAAGAATTTCTCATCTTAGCAGACATCATTTTTATGTACTTTCCTCTTTTGTGTTTTTACTTTGCAGCCCATACTGTATCTATCCTCACATATCTACATCTCATTCTCTCCACACAATTACACTAGTCCATTATACACAATATACTTTTCTTCATTACTTTCACTAGCATTCACCAATGTCTATGAAACGTATATGTTTGTGCCTCTCATTCTTACTATTGATACTCGTTTTCTTTCTCTCCGATATGTATTATGTTTCTTGAGCGTGAAAGTCACGCTTTTGAAACGTATCGTGCAGGGTTCTAATTAATTAAAATAAAAATGACTTTAAAAACAGCTGTGCTTAATCTCACATGGATATTAAAATCATTATCCCTCAACAAGTTCAATATTTTTAATAATTTCAACTAACCTTTATTATTTTGTGAAGTTGCAAATCAAAGTAAGTAAGGCGTAAAAGTGATATTTAAACAAATTATCGGGTCGTTTTTATACGATACGACTAAAGTGAACATTTTAGACTGCAAAACGGCGCCGTTATGAAGATTAACTAAGGAAGTTGTCATAGTGGTCTAACGATGTGCTTTTAATTAGCTTTTCACTAGTAGTATACTACTAGTGATCTTATTACGAGTGATCTTTCATCGATTCTTAATAAGATCGTTTCGACACTCCATGATTATCAATTTCTTTCAAACAAACACGTGTCAAAAATGACACATGCGGTGTCAACAATGTTCTGGCCCTTTTTCCATACACATTGTTCTCCTTTTTTATAAAAGTGTGTAATTTTCTTTTAAATTTCTTGTGATACGTTAATGTCACCTATAGTTGTCTCAGAATTACCACTGCTAATTTTTAATTATTCCAACATCATTCTCATATTTACAAAACATTAAGAAAAATAACATTACGAAAAGAAGTTCACTTCATTCCTTTAACTCCCTTGTCACAAGATAATTTCAGTTTTCGGTTAAAAATGATGGTCCTTTTCCATCTATTAATTTTATTCGTTACTTTCTCTTGTGCTCTTTCGGTTGTTAGTATTGGTCATATTAATCAAGCACGATTCACTAGTCTTGATCGTATTAATAATGGAACATTGTGGATTCAGAACCAAACCAACTCCAGTTGTATTTGTTATGCTTTGCAATTGAATCCACAACCGGTTTTCGCCTTCAATATTTTTCTTAATTCATCATGCCAACTCTTTCTTAGTCTCCCATCATACTACACGGACGAAACAAATGAAAATTCCACATTATACATGTTAAAACCTATCCAAAGTCAAACAACGACACTCTGCTATTCAAATTTGACATGGTTAACGACGAAAGTTCAAGCATTTAAACAGCTGCCCGTAACTACAGTGGTGAAACCAAGCTTCATGCTCATCGATGATAATAATTATTTAGTTACATTAAGTTATTATGGAAATCTCACACAAATGGACAGAAATACTTTGAATGTCATTAGTTCAACAGTGCTTCCCTCATTTTGTGCAGGATTAGGTTATAATAATGGATACTACTACATCGGTAAGTGTGTTTGCGTCGCATTTATTTTGCGTCGCAACTTATTCTTTCCCAAAGATTGTTCGATTTTATGAGGATATCTAGAGGCGGAAAAGGTGCTATGTTACTCAAACTATGTATCATTTAGAAGGCGACCCGTCTTCCTAGTGAAAATCTTAGACACTTCTTAAAATTGTCTTACTAGGACCCTATTCTTTAACATTCATTTTGATAAGATAATCGAAGATCTTAAGAAGATATAATGGCTTTATGTTCGTTTACCCCTTTGTTTTGCTCTCATTCATCTATGTAAGTGACACGAAAATATGAGTGACTTTACGGTTATTTTTCTTCCAGACTCTGCTAGTACTTTCTCTGTCGAAAGTGCTCAACAACCTTTTAGATAGTGTACATGTAGGTCAAGACCGATAGTTGGGCACCCAGAAATATGAAATTTCTCTTTATCCTTCAACACTGTTCAGCTGCAGTTTTGGATAATGCGGATTAAAAATTCAAAAAATTCAAAACGGTAATCATCATTCTGAAGTTATTTCTTCATGTGGCAAAGTAATTTGCGTGAAAGATTGAAAATACGTCTAACACACGGGGATTGACCATCTGGAGAAGGCACGCACTTTTCGACGCCGAGTGATCGTCTAGAAGATGTGCGCACCAGAGTTCGGCATGAACTGGACTGGAAATATTTTGGGTTCATGGACTCGGACTGAACTCGAAAACAATTTTGAATTCACTTGAATCGAGCAAAACCAGGCTGTTTTTGTATTGTGGACTACTGTTTAGAGTCCATGGACTGAAAAAACTGTTTTGAATGAGCCTCCGACTGGACTGGACTAGAGTTCTTCAGTCTATGGAGTCAGAATTTTAAGTCCATACCAACCTCTGGTACACACCTAGTAACACATGTTACTTTTTACAGTGTAAGACTTTTTACGTTCAGTAGTTTTGTTCAAGATTCAAGTTTATAGTATTTTCAAAAGTGTTCCATCTCCCAAAGTGCCAACAAAGTCACGACTAAAATATATGCGACTCCAGGAAGGAAAAGATTAAGTGCCGACGAATAATTTGGTAGGAGACTCACTAGCAGATCCACTCGATCTTTCATTCAAGGTTGCGATTCACCTCGTATAATCTATGTTTATTCCTCAAAAAACTTGACCCGTGGTTCTCTGGTGAATATAACAACGACTGGTAATCCACGTGAAGTTAAGTTCATTCAAAATTCAACAATAATGATCGTAGCAACTGAATATACACAAGTTCTTTCATTTTATCGTGTTTGTGCACCGGGTTCGAATTATTCATTCATGTATTCCGTGCCAGCACCAAAAACGTCTCCATATAGCCTGTATAAAATCAATGATACATTCCTATATCTGATACATTATTATAATTCAACATCGATTTATAAAATGATCCTGTCAGGGAACAACAGTAACTGGACATTTGTCCCGCTGCCAAACACGGCCACATCTCTAAAATTTCCAGTGCAAATGGCCATTGACTTCTGTGGACGAATCTGGTTCGCTATCTATGGCTTGGGCGTGAACATCTATGATCCGACGGGATCGATACTTCTTGCTACATGGCCGGTGTCGACTGGAGTCAACGGGATTCTAATGGTGGATAATTATGAATTATATCTGGCTGACTACGACAATAATCAATTACTGCATTTCACACCTAATTTACAATGTTCACTACCATAAACTAACTGAGTCTACTAGAGACCATGAGACATTTGAATAGCCGGTTAGATCTCTGTACTGCATCGCAATAACTGATGCCTTAAAATAAAGACGTATACGACGAAAGAAGCGGCATTTAGTGCTTTTAGCTAAAAGAACATGAAAATCGCCTACTATCATATCCACATTAGTTGGTAATGTTGACACGTAAATGGTAAGAAAGTCTTGACGAAAACTGGAGTAGAACAGTTACGAGCCATATAATGTAATTTACGCCCATTTGCCTTTTGAAATCATCATAAAATATCTTTTAGTTTTTTCAACACATTATTATGACAACAGATGGAGCAAAGAAAGAAATGTAAAACCGTTGAGTGAGTAACAGAAAACCAGAACTCTAAAGCATGAAGGAAAAAGAATTGTAGTTCACCCTCCACATGAAAATCATATAGACATCTTAGCAGATATCATTTCTATGTACTTTCTTCTTTTTTGGTTTTACTTTGCAGCCTATGTTGTTGCTATACTCATATATCTACGTCTCATTTTATCT